CCCTCCCTCTCCTCGATGCAGGGGGCCGAGCTCCGGGATGGCGAGGCGGCGGCGGCGGCGGCCGCTTCGTACCGCGTCCTGAGCCGCCTGCTCGGCTATGGAGAGGCGGCCCCCGAGCCAGGCCCGCCGCCGCCGCCGCCCCCGGGCCATGGCCCCCCGCCGCCACCTTTCCTCGCGCGGCCCGGTCCGCGGGGCTCCCGGCCGCCGCAGCTGATGGTGTTCCGCAACGTGGGTCGGCCGCCGGAGGAGGAGGACGCCGAGGCGGCTCCGGAGCCGGGACCCTCGGAACTGCTGTGTCCCCGGCATCGCTGTGCCCTGGACCCCAAGGTCCTGCCCCCGGGGTTGGCGCTGGAGCGGACCTGGGGCCCGGCGGCTGGACTAGAGGCGCAGTTGGCGGCTCTGGGGCTCGGGCAGCCGGCGGGGCCGGGGGTCAAGACGATCGGTGGAGGTTGCTGCCCCTGCCCATGCCCCCCGCAGCCGTCACCTCCGCAGCCCCAACCGCCTGCTGCCGCCCCGCAGGCCGGGGAGGACCCCACGGAAACAAGCGACGCGCTGCTAGTCCTGGAGGGCTTGGAATCAGAGGCCGAGAGCCTGGAGACTAACAGCTGCTCGGAAGAGGAGCTCAGCAGCCCGGGCCGCGGAGGAGGAGGGGGCGGCCGGCTTCTGCTGCAGCCCCCAGGCCCTGAATTACCCCTGGTTCCCTTACCGCTGCAGGACTTGGTCCCACCAGGGCGCCTCAGTAGAGGAGAGCAGCAGCAGCCGCCTCCCCCGCCCCCTCCTCCTCCTGGGCCCCTCCGGCCACTCGCTGGCCCTTCGCGGAAAGGCTCCCTCAAAATCCGCCTCAGTCGCCTCTTTCGCACGAAGAGCTGCAACGGTGGCACTGGTGGTGGGGATGGGGCCAGCAAGAGGCCTTCTGGAGATCTGGCTGCTTCAGCTGCGAGCCTGACAGACGTGGGAGGCTCTGCCGGACGGGAGCTGGACGCGGGGAGGTGAGACTTGGCTGTGGGGGGCTGGCAGACAAACTTCCTTCTCTTGTTTCATTTCCCTTTTATTCTGCTAACAAGATCCTGACAATTCTTATGATATGGCCTTCATAAGGAGGCAGAGACTTGGGGCTAAAGGTGGTGACATAGCTCATTAGGTCAGAGCTAATTATGGGAGACAGCTTTCACTCTGAGTTCCTTCCCTGTGACACTTCTCAGCTGGTTATTAGCATCTCTCTAGTTCAGAGATGATTTGAAACCATTCCCCCACCCCTACCTTGGCCCAGCTTTTGAAGTTTTTCCAAAGTGCCTGTCTACCATTACCCCAGGCAGGGAGGTAGCTGGAAATGTTTGGCCTTTGGGATAAGAAAATTGGTGTTGCATTTTGACCATCTTGCTTATTACTGTGGGTACCAGCACCCCATGTCGTTCACGCTTGTGCATACAAATGATGGGATGAACTTGTGCAGTTGCAGGCCCACAATCAATTGGGCATCTTAATTCGAAGTTTTTATGTTTTCCCGGTTGGTCTCTTTAGATGTACTTGGTATCTCAAGCCTGTGTGCTGACTACTGTCAATGAGAATAGAAAGTAGCTTTGCTTTAAAGCCCATGTGAGAAGTATGAGGCATAGGCATTGGTGCATGAGTTCTGGCCAATTGATGAAACTTCCAAACTTAGACATTGAGTTTTTCTGCATTTCTGAAGGGTACACTGCTCTCTGACCCTCCAGTGTTAGATCTGTATATTGGTTTAGAAAGCTGTCAACTTTTGTGTCAATGAAATGAGACTTCCTTGTGGTAACTGCCATTGTGGTTTGTGCTGCTGAATGGATTCTTAGAAAGATTGGAATTGGTTTTGGTGCAGCTCATGTGATAGATTCTTGAGATACACCCGCAGCCACAACCCAAGGCTGAAGAACAGGTAGATGAATAAATTGAGAACTTTGTGCACCAGGATCCTGTGGGGAGCTTTGGGAAAAGATCAGTGTGTCTGACAGCCCAACAATTTGAATTTTTAAAAAGCTCCCCAGTTGATCCTGAAGTGTGACCTGTACTGGGAACCATTCACCCATGGACTTCCCTTTTCCAGGGAATTTGGCTACTCCAAAGGGAAAGTGTGAGGTCAGGTTGACTTTGCTGCCCTTTCTGAACATCTGTGACAGGGGCTTATCTTGGGAATCAGATCAAACTCAAGCTCCCTAAAGAAACCAGTAGGTTGACGCGTGTCGCCCCTTCCGGTAGACCTATGATTCTGCATTTGCCTCCCAATGAATTCATGCTCAGGTCTTGAAAAGTGTGTGGCTGGTAAAACAGCTTTTTTTTTCTTTTTTCTTTTTTTTTGTAGCAGGCTCTGCGTTCGATGCTCCACTTAACCAATATAGATGAAATTTTCATCAGATGGGGGGAGGGTAGGGTTGAAGCTGTGGGTAATGACACAGAATAGATTGCTAATTTTCTTGAGGTCTGTCTTGCCTTTGTTCTGTATTGACCAGGACTTGGTCTAAGATTCTAGAGCTGCCAAATATGAGGTGTAGCATGACATTAGCTGCTCCATCTAATAGATTAGGAAGAGGAAAAGGCATATAACATTATACGGTTTTTTGCCTTTGGAAGCAGAATTTAATGGTCATTGGCTGCTCTGTCACCAACCTTCACACTAAGCACAATACAGATTTCTGCTGCTGAGCAAATTGGACTCTTGCTCTGCAAAGCTTAGTTCAGGGCACTGGAGAATACATTTTTGGTCCAGGAGCTTTTCTGATGAATTGGAGAAGAGCTAGGTATTTGTGTACCAGCATTTGGTTGACTGCTGTTAGGAGGCAGCATGTTGGTTGGACAGAGACTGTGAACATCTAGATTCCATTTAGAACTCCAGCATCAGCTGTGGGATGCAGGCCAATTTTGTCTTCTTCATGCTTCCTCCTTTTTATTCATCCAGTAAAATGGAAGTGATTCCTATCTTCTTCCTGTCCTTATAGGAATAGAGTGAAGACAAGAGAAATTGAGATGGAATATTTTGTGCTTTTGGAGAAGTAGCAAGATTGAACTGGTGATTTTCCTTCCTTTCTTTTTTTTTTTTATTTTTATGCTTAGGATTTGGTGCTGTTAGATTTGCTTGTTAGCTTTTACACAGCTTACTATGTGCCAGTCTTGCTGGCAGCCTCACAGCTGTGAGAAACTTGGTAAGTCTGGCCAGGGTAGTTGTGATTTCTGTGGATCTGAACCTCCTAAGTAAGTTCGCTCTGTTGGGAGGAAGGATGAATTTGGATTTTCAGCTTGTTCCTTTATTTTGATTGGTAGGACCCGGAAGCTGTGAGAAATCTGTCTCTTGCCAGAAGTTGTATGCCTTCCTCCTTATTGTTGATTGGAGCTAATTACGAGTCTGCAGTCTTTGCTGTATAATTTGGGGCTTTTACAGTAACCTCTGGGCATGATTCTCTTTGCTTTTCTTAACGTCTACCTTCCCCACAGTTATCACTAGAAAATACTTCCTATAATCATTTTATAAGGCTTAACAGTTTCCAAATTTTAACAGTAAGCAAAACTTTAATTCCTTTCAGGTCTTGCCTGGATATCCTGAGTCTTAAGTCTAGTATGAGTTAGCTTAGAGAACTTTTTTCAAGCAAAGGAAGAAATGGGCCTACCAAGGAATCAGGTTTCTGTTGTGGAGAAATGGGCCAGGACTTTAACACATATGTTGGAATTCACAGAGCTGGGCTTGATGCCTGTGGGCTTCAGTGTAATATAGAATTGCTATTTCAGGAAAACCAGCAAAGTTCCCTTGTCTGTTTCACATATGTTGAGCTGATTGTCTTCCTTTATATTTGGTGGAAAATGGCACTTGATCTGACCTTTTTTTGAATTATTACACAATACACCTTGGTTGGAAATAGGTACCTTGTTCATTTTTCAAGGTTTATTTTTTTCTTAGTTAACGGTTGAGGCTATTACCAGCTGTCTTCATAGTTGTGAGGTGGAAAAATGGAGGACAGTTCTGTAGTGGTTTCCCATCTATTTGGGGGGGTTGGCGCGGAATACAATTCTGGAAAGAGCAGGCAGCCTTGGCATCATTTTGGGGCCCTGCTGTTGTGGACAATATGGCAAATATGAGAAACCCTTTTCTCTGTTATCTTGGGTCTTTGGGTCTAAGGGAGTTTTTTGAGAAATAGCATGATATGCTGAGAGTAAAATGATTTTTATGGTGTGGTGAGGGAGTTCTGACTTCATGTTTGGGTTTTGGGTCTATACTCCGTTGATCTTTTTAACTATTTTTCATGAAGTGGTTGTGGTTGGCAGCTCTCCTTTGGAATGAGCAACCTGGCTTCAGAAAGCTCTATCTGTCCATTTGAGTCTCATGTCTTTCACTCTTTAATATTTTCCCTGCTAACATCATTCCTAAGGTTTTAGACCTTGGACTATGTATGCCTCTTGGCTTCTTCCCTGGAAGTCCCCTCCATAGGTTCTTTAGTTGGTTTATGATGGAGTTTTGGATCTGACCTTGCTGCACAGATGTCTGTGTATTGGAACTAAAAATGAACACATGGTTTTTGTGCCTGTAGCACATGAACAGACACTGGCTTATGACGTGTTGGAAATGGCACAGGCTGGCTGACTTGGCACTGTATGCTTAGCAGGGCCAGAGGTAAATTGCGGCTGCAAAACCAGATATTTGGACATCCTAGTTTGGAAGTTACTTTAGAAAAGGACATGTATAAGTCTTAGGACATCAGTAGAGGGGATTTATAGACTAGAGAGGGAGGACATTACTATTTCGTTGCTTATATTTTAGGTTTCAAGGAATTTGAAAAGTGGCCAATGGTCTATCAATGTGTGTTGTCGGCCTGTCTGGTCTAATGCTTTTAACTCCTTTTGTCCCACAGATCTATTGCCATACAATTAGTAATTTACAGAGTGAACATGGACAGAGGCATTCTCTTTCTTTGTTATGGGCAGCACAAGCAATGCACAACTGACACAAAGAAGACCTTTGCCTACGGTCTTTTGCCACTCCTGTCCTGTTCTGCCACCTGAGGCATAGCCCACCAAATCCTACCCCATCCCACCCCTCAAATCTTTCTGCCGCAAAAAGGCAAGTGACCCACTGGCAAAGTGACAGTGGTTTAACTTTGCACTCTAATGCTTGTCAAGGTGATCTGGGGAGGAATAAAATAACATGGGAATGTGGTATAGAATTGTTACTTACAAATGTTACCTGGAGCTGTATCATTCATGATGCTCTCCAAAAAACAGCATATCCAGCGTAGAATGGACTTTTATTCATACATACAAAAGGAGGTGTATAAAGTGTATGCACTATAATAAGAAAATGCATACCTAAGTACTCATCACTAAGCTTAGCAAATAGAATGTTATCAGTTACCTTTGAAGACCCCTGTGTGTTGCTTCGTGATTAGTCTCCCTCCTCCCCTCTTAACCACCATCCTCAGTTTTATGTTAATCATTCCCTTGCTTTGTTTTTTTATAGTCGTCTAGATTGGTCTTTTCATGAATGACTGCCATTAGAATGCTCTCAGGATCCTTGAGTCAGAAACTGCTTTGGATTTTCAGTTAGACAGCATCTCCCCAAAGAGAGAAGGAAGCACTCATGTTTATTATTAGCCTTTCAGCGTCTTCGACCTTCTACCTCTCCAGGCTTCCAGCTCTGAGGTCCTCTTATTTGCCAGGAAAAAACCATTCCACATCCATCCCTGGGCTCTCAAATGGCTCTGCCTGGGTTTAAATTCATATGTATTTCTTTTTCTAGATCCTAGAAACTATCATTTTCTTCTTCAAAATGCCTAGGGCGGGGGAGAAGATGAGCTGGAGTGAGAAGGCCTCCGCAAGCTGTGTGCATTTGGGTACTGCCGTTCTTCAGTGCTTGGCACTGAAGAGATTCGTCCCCAGCATGGGCAGATGGCAGAGTAATGCAGCTTCCTTTGAAAAGAGGCAAACGGCCAAATGGCTGAGGTGTGAACCCTTTGAAAGGCCAGTGCTTTAGGTTTCTTCTTGCTGAGTTTAATGTTGTACCCACAGTTTTCAAATAAAAATCAGCTTGGAAGCTCTTCAGTCTTAAAGTTCATGTCCAGTGGAATTAACTTTCCATTACAGCCCTCCAGAGTGTTGGAACTAAGCTTCAGACTGTCATGAGCAACTTTTATAAACAGAGGGACTGTGTGTGCTTGTGTGTTGATGCAGCCACCTCTCTTGTGGGTGCCGTAGGTGGGACATTCACTGTGGGCACCGTCATTAGATTTCTTAAGTCTCAGCATGGAGGAGGTGGTAGAGGGAGTGTGAGATATGTCAGGAGAGGGAATCCAGCATCTCGGCTATTTTTGAGTAAGGTCTTCGGGGTACGATTTTGAAATTTTGTTTGAAGTGAGTTCTGAGAAGCTCAGATATCTATGTTAAAACATAAAGGCATAAAGATCTTCTAAAGTACAATCTAAATAGGATTTCATTTGGATTTTCCTTGCTTCTGCCCCCTCTATTGGTGCAGTTGAAGTTTCATTTTGTCCTTTGGGTGAGAGTGATTTTGGAAGATGAGCCAGCTATAAGGCCTGGAGTCAGGGGCACAGTTTGGGGGTAGGATTTTTTAAACGGTCTGGTTTATTGAGGTATAATTTATATACCACTTAACATTCATCTTTTTCTAGGTGTCCAGTTCTGTTAATTTTGACAGGTATGTATAGTCATCATAACCTCTACCACAGTCAAGATATAACATATTTTCTTGACCTCTGCAAGCTTTGCCTTTGTAGTCAATTCAGTCATCCTGAGGTGAGTTTTTTGAGATTAGCACGTTCCTAGCCAGAGGTCTTTGTCAGAGTCTGGATTTCTTTCATTTCTCTTTGAAAAGCCAATTGAAATTGGTACAAAGCAAGGTTACCTTTTGTGTATCTTTTCACGGGAGATCTGGGTTTTCCAGCTGGTTCCCTGGAGCAGCATCAGGGAGAAGTCATGGGGACAGCTATGTGACCGGCAGTTCAGAGATGGACAGGGGGTCAGCCAAAGATGACCTGAGGAGGCCCCCTTGTTAGCTGATGGCTTTGACCTATAGGGCTTGGGGGCATCCGTGCACAAATCGGAGGTCTTAGTGGTTAAAGATTACATGTGCACCCTATAATGCTGATCCCAAGTCCAAATATGTTCCTTGGTTCCCTGGCTCACTTTGGGACCTCCTGTTCCTAGGGGGAGGCCCAGAAGGAAGGCTGTTGCTCTGAGATGGTACCTGCTCAGGTCAAGAGCCTCTTTCTTGGCTCCCATATGAAAATCAACTCTGCATCCAGACTTCCTTCCTCTAGAAATGGACTCGCTAATTACCATTCAAGATGTTTTTTAATGTGCTAGGTGTGGAAAGATCCAAAGGGATTTCTCATTGCTTTATAGGCTGGTGAATTCTGTAGCCAGATCTATTTAAGGAATTGCCTTAATTATTTCATTCTCTCCCTTTAAATTTTAGGCTTTATTACAAAAATATTACTGACAATGACTAGGGTATGCTTTGTATTTCCATGCATCTGGAATTGAGTATTTTAGTGATTTAAATGCGTATGTGTTAATCCTCTCTCCACCTCCCCTTATTCTTTCTGTGTGCTTTCTTTCCCCCTAGGAAACCCAGGTTGACCAGAACTCAAAGTGCCTTTTCTCCGGTCTCCTTCAGCCCCCTGTTCACAGGTAAGGGTGATCTTTTTCTTTTTCTTTTGACATCTGAAAGCCCAAGTGTTATGAGACCTGTTGGGAAACACAGATGCATCGCAGAGGGAGCTTCAGGCACGTCTGCAGTTATTTTCTTCATTCCTTGCCTGCTGGGATTGGTGTGAGGCTATTTTTATGGTGCCGAATGTGTTCTTGACTTTGGATGCTTTATAGTTTGCGTAGTGACTGTTTGCTGGTAATTAGGTGGCCCTGGTAGTTATACAGTGCTTAGTTCAGGATCATCACATATAAATTAAGAGGAGGAATTACAAAGTTATAGGCTCAGAGTGTATAAAGGACCCTCTAGAAGTCATACAACTCTTGTTCCTGCTTCCAATGGATTCATGGATTATCTGATACAAACATGACCCATGATTATCTGGTCTATTTTTAAAGACTTTGGGCAAAGGGGATTACATGAACTCTTGTCTTACCCATTTTAGGGGCTAGCATTCTTGCAGCTGTTAGAGTTCTTCGTTGTACCTAATTTAAGTCTCTTCTTTTGCAGCAGGGAACACAGTTGCTAAAGTAGGAAAGGGGTTGAATATCCTTTGGGCAACCGCCTTCTCGTTAAACGGAGAACTTTTTCAGAGAGGGAGACTGCTATGTCAGTCAGATGTGAAGCTCCTGCTTGAACAAGCTGCAGAAAAGGTCTTTAGCACACTGCCTCAAGCCTCAGAAACTGGGTTCTCATTGATTGTGGCTGAGAAGTCCTTAAAAAAAAAAATCCCAATTTCCAACTCTTTTGGATATTGTGTCCCTTAAAAGGTGATTGGAAGAATTATGATTTGGGAATGGACATTTCCAGATGTTAAGCAGGCTAGTGGAACCCCCATTACTGCATAGATGGCCATGAGCTGTCAGAACAAGTGACTTGGTACTGTAACAGACACAGGCGGAGAAGGAGGTCTCTTCTTAACCCCAGCCTAGAATTAAAGAATCTTCTCCTGTAGCAGCGTGTCTTTCTAGTTAATAATTGTTTCCTCTCTAAAGTAAGGAATACCCACATTTGTAGTTTCGGTTTCAGACAGTCTTATCTCTTTTGAATTACATCTTGATACTGAGGTGATACACTTATAATCTAGACATCTCTGACCCTTCAGGAAACATACTTGTTTGGATTCCTTACATTGCTCTGGGCAGCTAGGCTCTCAGTTACGAAGCTGTGTGATGAGTCAGGACCAGCTTTCTAGAACTTCCACTGATAACTTTTAGAAGAGATTTTCTGCTTATCTTAATTAGTGTTCACGAACTTCATAAAAAACTGTGTATTAGATTCTGAAAGCCCAGCTCCTGACCTTTTAGAGACCTCACTTTCTTAACTGGGAAATAATAAAATTCTAGCTGAGGAGCTAATTCAGCCTCCTGAATAAGAAAAAGATGTTGGAAATAACACCCTAAGGGCTAAGTTAGAGAAACCTTGAGTATCTTACCTATGGATCAGACCTACCAAAACAAACCTATTCTTGGCTGTCAACCTTAGTTAATAAAGTACTCTTCACTTTTTGGTGACTCAGTGGAAAGAGGGTAGATGTGGTTGGGTGGCAAGAAGGGGTGCACATGGCAGAGAACAGAACTGTATGACATGCTGGGAAGTAAAGAGAAACCACATCCCACCCCCTATCCAGCTCCTACTGAGAAGCTTCCTCTAAGCTTACCTGACTCTTGGCTGACTGTGGAAGTAGTTAATAATTATTAGGGTTGTAAATGTACTTTTCAGCCTTTGTAGCCTCAGCTATTAGGAACTAGTTGATATCTGAAATGGTTGTTTCTCTTATGAGTGAATATTCTGAAAAATCTAGACATGGTAAGCCATTTAGGAAGAAGCTGGGGCTAATATTGGGACCTTTATCTGTATTCAGCTTACCATGTAATTCTTATTATATTTTTCTGGCATTTGCTTTTTATGTCCATTTGGGCTTATCACAAGCTGTTTGCCTTGCTCCCTAAGGCAGAAATTGGTATACAAGTCTGTAAAAATAAATGGTGTGGGTTCCATTTGAATAAAGAAAACCCCTTGTTCAAGGTTAGGTTGTCAGTAGCAGAACCATGATTAATTGGCGTTTCCACTGTTGTCCCATGTTTTTTGTCCTAGAGTCCTTGACCTTTAACAGGACAAAGAAATGATAGAATTTAAAATGGACTTCCTGGGTGTTTGGGGTGATTTCAGCTCTGAAAGCATTAGATTTTGAGCTTTCTGAGAGCCAGGGACTTCTAGTTTCCCTTGCTTGCCCTTTGCTTGTCTTTGCTTCTGACCTCAGCTTTGGGCATGGTGCTTCTATAACATGCTTGCTCATGAATCCTTCAGGTGAAACAGTTTCGCTTGTGGATGTGGACATTTCTCAGCGGGGCCTGACCTCTCCACACCCTCCAACTCCCCCTCCTCCTCCAAGAAGAAGCCTCAGCCTCCTAGGTATAGTCTCCTCCCCTCTCTGCCTTCTTGTCCTAGTGGGAGGGGGAGCTCCAGGGACCTGTTGTTGTTTTCCAGGAGCCAAACAAGCTCCTGGGTTTCTAATGATGACCCAATTATTCCCTGTCTCTTTCTCAGCACCCCTGTCATCTATTTAAGCAGTTGAATGGGTGTCTTACTTGCATGCTATAACATTTACTATCCGTATGTTGTTTAGATCTGTATTTATCTTACCCTGAATCTATAGCTAGTAGGCTGCTTTAGGAATATCCTTACTTGCCTACTTTCAAGCAAAGGAAACCAGATTAAGATGATTGTTGCCCTCTGTGCATAAAGACAGGGTGAAGGTCAGGCCATCTTGCCCCAGAGGGCAGCCTGATGATCCTTCTCCCTCTCTTCTGCTTCACTTGCTCATTCTGTGCTCATATTTCTGAACCTCTTGCTTTTGTTCTCTTTTCTAGATGATATCAGTGGGACGCTGCCTACATCTGTCCTTGTGGCTCCGATGGGGTCTTCCCTGCAGTCTTTCCCCCTACCTCCGCCACCTCCACCCCATGCCCCAGGTTAGCTTAGCTTAGGGGCAACACTTGCAAGAGTTGGGAGTACAAAGTACTTCTGAAGGATGGGAGAATTCTATTTATGATAACAGAATTTACAAGAAAGCTTAAATTTCATCCCCTTGGCTAGACCATAACTACTTGGAAATGAGACCAAGAACTGGTTTTTCTAACCCGTTTTCTTTATGGAGTTGAATCTGATTTTTGTTAGCAATAAAAGACTATTGAATTTTTTCGTCTTTTTGCTGCTGAGACTGTTGTTTTAGTCCTTAAATAGATATCACTTAGGAAATTACTTTAATTTCAGGATAGTGAGGTTTAATATGTTGCTGGTTTTCAAAGTTCTGTGGTTTTTCTAAGCTTTTAGTACCGACCGCAGCCTTGTAAATAAGTACCAAGCATTTAGTAGCCCATACCTGCTTTGCCAGCCTCCAGTACCCAAGGAATAAAATGAATGAAATCGGCATTCTTTTCTACTTGCCTGGCAAACTCGTTACACTTCCTGGGCAAGTAAGCGAGTCACTATTTCCAAGGCTGTTTTACCGGCACTTCACCTCGAGGTGGGAGAAGTTGGAATCGCTCTAGGCTGGTGAAGGTCCTGAAGTAGTCACCTTAGTCAGGTTAGTGAGCAGCTCCCCACCCCCTTTCCTGGGGTTCAGTGCCCCCACCCATCCTTCACAGCTTACACAAGCCCACACAGCTTTTTGTTCCAGCCCATCCAGCTCTTTCCCACTGCTTTGGCTTCCACCCTTTCCAGCTTAGCTTCTAATGCTTTGCCCCTCCTCAGTTAGCATCTCTGTTTTGGGGGGAGGGTCTGCTTATGGTTGGGAGCGTTGAGGGTAAACAAGTGACCCCCATTGGTCTTGCCCTGCAGATGCATTTCCCCGGGTTGCTCCCATCAGAGCAGCTGAATCCCTGCACAGCCAGCCCCCTCAACACCTCCAGTGTCCCCTCTACCGGCCCGACTCGAGCAGCTTTGCAGCCAGCCTTCGAGAGTTGGAAAAGGTAGGTGGTGCCTGTGCACTGGCGGCTCACCCCCTTCCCACTCCCTAGTTCTGTACCAGGTTTCCCTTTTATTATGTTCAGAGAAAGGGTCGTTTCCCTGCCTCTATATTTACAGTGATAAAGCAATATGCTGCTATTATCAATTCCGTAAAAGATGTAAAATTGAATCTTAGAAAAAAAGTTGAATGTGATAAAGGTTGTAGAGAAATGTTTACATAGTCTAAGCTGATTGTGACAGATGACTTGACCCAGGTCCCTTTTCTTTGTACGGCTTTGGTAATGGAAATGTAGAATTCTTCTTCTGTAACTTTGGAGGGCTAAGAGTACGATGAGCCTGATGTTCATTGCCAATGGTTGAAAACACTCAGCAGCTTTTCCCCTACTGAAATGTGTTGGAGCGGGGAGTGGTAAGATAGATTGTGCTGAAAACTTGGACATTTTTCTGTTCTGTTAACCACTTGACTGCTTTTCATCTTTGATAGTGTGGTTGGTATTGGGGACCAATGAATTGGGAAGATGCAGAGATGAAGCTGAAAGGGAAACCAGATGGTTCTTTCCTGGTACGAGACAGCTCTGATCCTCGTTATATCCTGAGCCTCAGTTTCCGATCACAGGGTATCACCCACCACACTAGAATGGAGCACTACAGAGGTAAGAGGTGCTGGTGTTGGAAGAAAGCCTTCCCCACTTGCCTTTCTCTACTTTTGCCATTTGACTTTCTCATAGGAAGAATTCATAGAAATGGAACTGTGAATAGGGGGAAAAACTTCTAGACTCAATTGAATTCTGATATGGGCACTGGTTTCAATCACTAGAAGAAATGTTGGGGGAGGGCAGTAAAGAGAGTAAGAATTCCATTTAAAAGTATTGTCAGTGTCTTGTCTCCCAGATAGGAGGACCTGAACAAGACTATTGAAGAACAGAACAAAGCCAGTAAAACCATGCTCTTGATAAAAGGAAGGAATAAGCTAGACAAGCTCTCCCAAGCTTTGTTCATAATTAAATTTAATATCTAGAGATACTTTCTATTAAATTGTACAACTGAAGAGGAGAATTTAGTGTTGATTCTGTGACTGTTCTGTTCTGAATTTCTTTGCCTACTAGTCACAGCAGCTCTTCTGGTAGGCAGCATGGTGATGATACTTGCCTCTCTTGGTCAGCTTTGTAGTTCGTTAGGTAATAGTCATCAGAACTCCGAGAGTTTGTGGGATCAGTGTGCTTTAAATGGTCTCCCTTCTTCCTTCGTGGACAGATTGTGCTTAATGTTGCCATCATGTTAGAAGGTGATTTGTGAAACCTGCTGTCTGGATTGACTTTGTATTGGGACATTCTGTACTTGACTTGGGCCAGAAACTTGTGATGGTCATTGGTGGTAGGGCTGCATATTAGATCACTTATTGAAATACCTGCATATGCTACAAGTTTAAAAAGTGTAGAGAGGGCCAGCTGAGTGGCGCATTGGTTAAGAGCTGGCTTGGGACGCCAGAGGGCCCCGGTTCGGATCCCACATATGAGGGCTAGTGACACTGCCCTCTATAGCCAAGATGCTGAACGGCAGTTTGACCTGGGGCTGGGCTGCCGTGGGTTGCCAGTGGCGGCATAGGCTGCAGTCCTCTGCTGCAGTGGGCTGCCATAAGCTACCGTGTGTAGCCAGCAGCCAGCAGCTGCCGTCCAGAGGCCGGCGACTGATCTGCCTCACCCAGGAAGAGCGCAATGATGGTGTCAACTTGGGCCAGTGAAGCAACGTCCTCCACAACTAGACTGAAGAACAAAGCAACAGCAACTTGTCTATTCCCCTTCCCCCGATTCCCCAGCGCTGTTCCCCTCCCCCAATTCCCCAATTAAAAAAATCTTTTAAAAAAAGTGTAGAGAACTTTGGAGAGTTTGGGAGACTTGCTCCTCCCATCCCTCACATTCTTCCCACATGTGATCCCCTTAAATGAACTGTATTAGACATTCATCTCAAATAAGAGTCTCTTTCATGCTCTTCTCAGGCACCGCCATGTCTTTCCTTCTCTCATCCAAGTTCTGCTGGATTATTTGGTTTGCTTCTCTTGTGAGGCATAAAGTAGCTGTGCAGCACAGCCTTGTCCATAGTTTCCTCTGCCCCCACCTTTCCCTTAGAGATGCATGAAGAGAAAGGAACTTCAGTCCAAAGACCTGAGCGCTAGTTAGATAACTAGGGTAGACTGCTTCCCATTTTCCTGCTGCTCCTAAAAGCAAAAATCAGAGAAACAAAATGCAAAATAAAGCAGTTCAGAGTGAAGTATTTTTATAAACCTACTAAAATGGTAAATGACTAGGCCATGGGAATGATGAATACATGTGTGACCTCTAGGTTCCTGATAGGTGAGATGCCAGAAATGAGAGAGCTCTTTCAAATGGTTCTCCGGTTACTTTTTGTTCAAAGGGACTTTTCTTCCTTGAATAAATGGAATTTTTAATAGAAGCCTTGTGGGCCTTTCAGTTGCCAGCTTGCAGTGGAACATTTGTCTTGGTCTTTTTAAGTGATACTGTAAGAGTAGCTAGAGACTCAGATCTGCAGTTCTCTTGAGTGATTTGGTATCCCCTTTGTGGGTGCTTTAGTTTTGGGGATTTTGTGGTGTTGTTTTTTTTTAAGTCGTGGGAGTTCAGATTCCCTTTTTGCCTTTGGGATTCTAAAGTTAGGAGTGGGATCTTTGTAACATGTTGGGGCGTGGAATTTAGAAGTTAAAGAAGAAAAGACTTAGAATTTGATTTTTCGGTGCCCAGCACACACATGAATGAGTGATACCCACAAGCTGCTCTTGTCTTTCTCTTGACTGTCCCATTGAATACTTGAAGTCTTAGATCTTCTTGAGAGGATGTCATTTAAACTTGCTTTTGCTATAGGAGTCTTATCTTATGGTCTGTGATTTAAGAATTAATGTTCATATGCGACAAAGCATTTTTATATCTTTTTTCTGACTTGAAATTATTATTTATTTGTTTAACAAAAGCCTTGTAAGACCTAATTTATGTCTTATTAAAGGCAACATCTTTCTTTCCATTAATTGTGGAACAAGCAGGAACAGATGGCTTCAAGGACCTTTGTCTGATTCAGCTTGCCCATAAACAACCCTCCCAAAAGTGAGAATCATAAAAATGTTCAAATCAACCTCCCAGACTTTTTTAAAGTCGCTTTTACATTTTTACCTCTCCTTAATTTTCCATGGCAGGAACCTTCAGCCTATGGTGTCATCCTAAGTTTGAGGATCGCTGTCAATCAGTGGTGGAGTTCATTAAGAGAGCCATCATGCACTCCAAGAATGGGAAGTTTCTCTATTTCTTGAGATCCAGGGTTCCAGGTAAGGCTGTAGTTACTGTTTTATTGAACTTACTTGGGTATGGTCCAGTATGGTATCAAAATGTACCCCCCATCCCCACCCTGTGCCCCCCCAAAAAAACGCCACAATTACTTAAAGCTTCTTTTTTTTTAAGATTTTTTTTTTTTAATATTGGGGAAGGGGAACAGTGTTGGGGAATTGGGGAAGGGGATCAGCCAAATTGTTGTCCTCCAGTCTTAGTTATGGAGGGCGCAGCTAGCTCAGCTCAGTCAGCAGCTCAGCTCAGGCCCAGCTCACTGGGCCATGTGGGACTCAAACCGGCAAGCCTGTTGCTCAGAGCTCGTGCTCTTAACCAACTGAGCCATTTGGCCGGCCCGTTAAAGCTTTTTATTCTTGTTTTTATAGCAGTCACACTAGAGCAGGGGTTCGCAAACTTTTGAGACGGAAGAGCCGCCAGGGGTCAGCAAACTGCGGCTCACGAGCATGTGGCTCTGAAGTGAAATTGATAATGAAAATAAAACTTACCATAGTTTCATTTATAAAATTTTTACAGGATATTATTCACATAATGGTGATTATGTGAAAATATATTAATGGCTCTCAAATAATTTTTAAATTGTTGTGAGGGACAGAATTGGCTCTTCTAGGGGTCGGCAAACTTTTGAGACGGAATGTACCCAAAGAGCCGCATGTGGCTTGCGAGCTGCAGTTTGTCGACCCCTGGGCTAGAGTCAAGTGGTTAATCCCCTACCCTTGTACACTAATCTCTCAGTATTTTGAGAAGGAATCTTTGTTTCTCTGACCACATGAATGAAAAAACTGATCCTGCCTCTGATGTCCAGGCATCATATGAATACTTAATATTCAAAGATGTCTCCTTGTCCCCAATCCAGGCATCTTACACTTACATGTGACACAGGAGAGAGAGGCTCTCAGGTCATTTCCCCAGGAACAGGGAAGGTAAAGAGGGTTTACTCAAAAGGCAGTGGTGAGTGTCAGGGAGGCTGAATTCAGTGGCAGTCTGTTCTGGATTTTGTCCATTGTTGTACTAAACTTTCTGTTAAAGAGTAGGTTCTTTTTGTTTATCTTATATCCCTCAGTGTTGACTATAAAGATCTCTCTCCATTTGGGAGCATTAGGCAGTTCCCATCCTTGCTGGTGTGGTTATATAGTCTTCCTGCCCACAAAGCAGGGAGGTATTTGTATAATAGCTACTGAAGGGGGAGAAGGGATGGTTTAGAGCAGCGGTTCTCAACCTATGGGTCGTGACCCCTTTGGGGGTCGAATGATCCTTTCACAGCGGTCGCCTAAGACCATCGGAAAACAAAAAGATATTTACATTACGATTCATAACAGTAGCAAAATTACAGTTATAGAGTTGCAACGAAAAAAATTTTATGGATGGGGGTCACCACAACGTGAGGAACTGTATTAAGGGGTAGCGGCATTAGGAAGGTTGAGAACCGCTGGTTTAGAGGAATCAGCTTATATAGTGTTGGGAAAAGTAAAATGACAAGCACATTAATTGAGGCATTTGTAAGATACAAACAGAACTTAAAATGAGAACATCGTGCTTTCCCATTGAATCAAACTAAGATTTTTAAACAAACAGGATGCCAAGAAATTGCTCTAAAAAGAAGTTGCAGGAGTGCCTCAGGCAGAACATCAGTAACAGGATCGAGCCAGGTTGCAGGAATGTGTTTTCTAATCTTGGTGATTTAAATAAGGTGTGACAGGGTGCAAACTGGATTAATTCTCACTTCATTTAGTATTTGCTTCAGTGCTGTCAACACAATTGGGTCTCATACAGTTGACTTGATTAAAGGGAACAGTTAAAATCCTTTCTTGTAGGAATTGCTCTGCATAGCAATTTGTAAAGTTTGTGGCTTTTGGGAGGTATTTATTTAACAAACATTTATTTGTGTAACTTAGTATCAAAAATAAGCCCCATCTCTGCTCTCAGAGAACTCAGCCTCAAAGGGGGAACAGGTAAGAAGATAAAGGTACTAGCGCGTGTTAAGTTCTATACAGTGATCAGCAGAGGCCGGCTAGTAAGCTCTGTTTGTGGGTGAACCAGGGAAGTCCTCTCAGAGGACTCGAGTCTGGAGCGTGTATCTACTTGTTGAGTATTGAGAGGCATCATGGAATCTTTGACTCCTCAGGTGTAGCTCATCGCATTCCACAAATGTGCCCTGTCTATATAAATTTTAACTAAGATTCTTAACATTGTTATTGGCTAGAGATAATAATAATTGCTGCTGTTTATTGTCTGTCATATGCCCAGTACTTGGTCAGTTTCTTTATTTACATCTCTCTAAGTTTTTTTTTAGCTAATAGATTGGTCTATTATTTACAGGTAAGACTGTTTTCATTTTGCCAGTGAGGAAACTGAGGTTCAAAAGTGAAATTACTGTGAAAGGCCACTTAGCTGATCAGTCCTGAAGCCAGGTTCAAACCCAGGCCCAACTAACTCCAAATCCAATGCTTTATTTACCACCACTCTGTGATGGGAAAGAAGTAGCAGTAAGCAAATGGAAACGAGTTTGTTGGGATTTGTGAAGACTACACAAAGAAGTCAGAATTGTGTTTGTTAGTGGAGGGTGTCTTTCTGGGACCTGTGCTGAATGCTACCAGAAGGGTATCTATTTGCACCTAAAAATGTAATCAAGTTGAAAAGGAGAGCAGAGTTAGTGTTTGCCCTGGGACGCTCTTTGAAGGATTGGGACAGAGAGGCAAAGCCAGTGCTCTCCTTTACCATTGTTGGCTGCACTCCTTTGCTTATCATGAAGGTCCGGGCATTCCTGAGGTTGACTTATTAGAGGCGAGGACTGGCCAAGAAGAGGTAATCACAGCACTTACGTTGAGCTGTCAGCCTGCACCAGGAATTTTAACTCAGTAGATTTTAAAAAGAGCCCGTTTGTTCACTTTGGGATGATAACTGAATTGCCCACAAGGAGCGAGGTATTATTTCGTTTCACTCTTACAAAACCCTTTGAAGGGATATTACAGTCAGCCTCAATATCTATCTCTCCCTCTCTCTCCCTCTCTCTCCCTCTCTCTCCCTCCCTCTCACTCCCTCCCTCTCCCTCTCCCTCTATCCAGATTGAGAAACTGAGGTACAGTGAGTTGCAGAGCTAGAATACAATGTTGGGTGTTTCTGGCCGAAATCTAGAGTTGCATACACTAGCAGGGCATGCCAGGAATCATGGGAATCATAAAGCTAGGACTAATGGGAAGGAAAATTCTTAATGGTGGCAAATAAGGAGCAGAAGGAAAGTAATTAGAATAAATGGAATAATTAGCATCTAGGGAGGAACTCTTGGTAAAAATTATGGAACCTGAGCTAGAGTTCCCCTTTTCTCATAGTATTGGAACATGGTCATAACAAATCTGAGGTCACTGATTCCATGTCATTCTGATCCATTTCAGTTATAAACTAAGCCCCTAACACCAGGCAGCAGTCTCACAAAGAGGATGTGGTTGGATTAGCACAACACCTCTTACCCACCTAGAGCCAGAACTTGCAGCAAATGTGTCCTTATTCGGGAGACTCTTCATCATTTGCAAAGTACATGAAGAGAAAATGCCTATTGTTTTTTAATCACACTGAATTACACAACTATAAGGAAATCGGTCACTTCCTCTTTTGTAACCATCATAAAGCTTATATTGCTTGTTCAGTGACATATCTTCCCTATATCCCAGGGTTTCTCAATTTAGCACTTTTGAGGTTTTGGGCTGCATAATTCTGGTCTTTAGGGAACAGTTTGGTGTGGCAGAAAGACCTAAGTGTTTGGGTGCTTAGACCTGAAATCAGATTTGTCACCCCTACCCTGGTCCCTGTTGGAGGAAGAAAAAACAGTGAAGTAGCTGGTAACTGCATTTGTGCCCAAGACCCCTGGCATGAAGACCAGAGGAAAGTTCCTGATGATCACTGTTCACCTCGCCCTTCCTGTGTCAGCTGCGCTGGTGTCTTATCTTGGATCTCCATTTCTAACCTCTCCTGTTAACTGGCTCTGAATGTGAAAGCTCCAGTTGTTTGCTGTTTTGGGGGCAAACAGTAAATGGTCAGGTTGACACCAGGGAATATCAGAGAATTAACAGATTTCAAATTGCTATTTGTGAAGCCAAGGCTAAAAGTAACACAATTAAATAGGCAAGTATATATAGTCATTAAAATTCAAGTAGGCAAACAATCAGATAATTATATCCTGCTTATTATCCTGATCTTTTTAGGCACAAGCCCTATACTATTGCATCTTTGGGAATAAATAATTAGATACATAAATTACTTTTATCTCTGAAACATCATGTTGAATTTAGCAG